AAACAATTATCTCCAAGCTCTGAAGTTCTTTCCAATGCACACAGTGTGTGTTCTGGTGAACTTGAGTTGGCGGCATTACCAGCTTGAACTTGGCCATTGGTCATCCTTCATGGCCTGTGGACTCTTCTGGTGAGACTTTCACATTTTGGCAGGACCCCTGAGGGCAGGGACCTTATTTCATTCCCGAATGTCTAAAACAGTTCTTGTAAGAAAGACCCAATAAACACTTGTTGAATGAAAGGAGTTTCAAGATATCAAGGTGAGGGCATGATATGTGAAAGGCTTATGGTGATGCCCTAGTGCCATGACTATGCCTGAACTGGCCAAGTTTATTTGAGGGTCTGTTGCAGCCCTGACTGTGAACTTGAGGGCAGTGAAGGCTGAACTGGCCCTTTGAAGACCACCGCACTGCACACCGCCCCGCCCCGCCCCCGCAGCCAGTTCCTAGAGATGAGTTTCTGAGTAGCCTTCCTTCAGAACTGTTTGTAGTGTCAGATAGGAGTGCTTGTCCTGGCTTTCCAAGATACAACAAGTGGGTTCAACTTGAGTTGACATTAACCTTGTGTGTGGTTCGGGAAAAGCATTGGCCTCTTCAACATTGGGGGCTTCTCTTGTGGCTCAAACAGGAGAGAATCTGCCTACAGTGCAGGAGACTCAGGTTCGATCCCTGGGTTGGGAAGATCTCCTAGAGAAGGGAATGGCTACCCCCTCCAGTATTCTGGTCTGTGAAATCCCATGGGCAGAGTAATCTGGCGGGCTACACTCCATAGGATCCCAAAGAGTTTGACATGACTGAGCCACTAACACTTCATCAGGAAACCAATTCTAAATCAATCCTAAAGGAAATCAACCCTGAATATTCATTGAAAGGACTGATGCTGAAGCTGAAGCATTTGGCCACCTGATGCAAAGAGCCAACTCACTGGAAAAGACCCTGATGCTGGGAAAGATTGAAGGCAAAAGGAGAAGGGGGTGGCAGAGGACGAGATGGTTAGCTAGCATCACTGACTCAGTGGACATGAATTTGAGCAAACCCCAGGAGATACAGGAGGACAGGACAGGGGAGCCTGGCATACTGCAATCGATGGGGTCGCAAAGAGTCGGACACGACTTGGCGACTGAACAACAACTTCAACAGGGCATTTCCAGGTTTGGAACTTGAGGTGGACTGCAAGCTGGTAACGGCCCATGGAGGTTTGCCAGCATGGTGAGTGTCAGATTTCCATCGGCTTCCCAGCATTCCTTTCCCGGGGTGGTAGAGAGATCACTTCCTCTTCTACCTGTTGTGTGATGCACTACCACTTCCTGTTGTCTTCCCAGGAAGACAGCAGGACTGGGTAGCCTGCTGGCTGCTGGCTGGTGGAGATGTCCTCACTGACTGGGAACAAGATTTAGGAGACAGGATGGTCAGGTGCATGAACTCATGCCCTCTGAAGGGTTTTAAGCATTGGGTTGGCCAAAACATTCATTCGGGTTTCTCCATACTATGTTACGACAATCCAGAATGAACATTTTGGCCAACCATATAGATTGGGCAGCTGGGGCAGGCTTCTTAAGGTTGTGATGGTCAGAAATGAGTTTTTTTTTTTCCTTTTGTAATCATGAAAAAATAGAGAAAGCATTTAAATTATATTAAAGACTTTCAGTTTTTCATACATTCTTTTTCTTTTTTAAATGTTTCTTTGTATTTATTTATTTATTTGGCTGCGTCGGATCTTAGTTGTGACAGGCAGGATTTTCATTGTGTCATGTGAGATCTTTGGTTGCCGTGCCCAGGCTCTCTAGTTGTGGTACGCGGGCTCCCAAGCGCACAGGCTCATTGCCTCATGGAGTGTGGGATCTAATTCCCTGTCCAGGGATGGAACACGTGTCCCCTGCATCGCAAGGCAAACTCTTAGCCACTGGGCCACCAGGGAAGTATAGTACATTGTTAAATAATTGTTCAGTGTCTACCCAGAATGTCATTGGTTGCTTTAGAAAGGTTAAAAAAGGATGCCTTTTTTTTTTTTTTTGCCACAATTTGGTCATTGTCACAGGTAGACAGGAAGAGCTTTTGATTATCTGAGAATAATTACAGATTCTGTTAAGATATTTGGTATTATAATGAGCAGTACCGACAAAGATTTGAATTAATGATACATTAGTTAGCCAGATTATGTAAATCATAGGAATAGAAATTCCCTCACTAACCAGATGTAATATTAAAATTAAAAACATGCTCAATAGAGAGAATATTTACTTATTGCCTTGCATGTTGCAAAGACATTTCAAGTTGGGCATAGTGAATTTTTAACTTAAAATCTACTTAAGGTCTAATGTAATAAATATATGTATTTTAAAATTTATTTTTGATTGGAGGATAATTGCTTTACAATATTGTGTTGGTTTCTGCCGTATAGTAACTTGAATCAGCCATAGGTATACATATGTTCCCCCCTCCTTGAAGCTCCCTTCTACCACCCACCCCATCCCACCCCTAGGTTGTCACAGCACGGGATTTGAGGTCCCTGTGTCATATAGCAAACTTCCACTGGCTATCTTAATTTTACATATAGTAATGTAAGGGCCTATTATCCAGAGGGAAGTAAGTCAGAAAGAGCAAAACAGATACTATACATTGACGCATATCATGGAATGTAGAAAGATGGCACTAATAAATATATTTTGAATTTTTGTATTCAGCTCTCCAGAAAAGATTTCAAGTGTACCTAGTGTATTATCACAGTTTCAAGAGCAACAGCCGAGGTTTATGATTTCTGTGAACAGAAACCTTCTGGCTGATTCTTGTTGGAAAGCTTATTTTTTTCTTTATCATGTAAGTTCTCCATCCTCACATTATGTAATAGCTTTTCTTTTTTCTTTCACCTTTTACCAGAATGTCTTTCTTTGGTGGCTGAGATTTGCTGTCTTCTGTCTTTCGCCTGTTGCCACCGTCACTCCCCTTCTGCCCCTGTCCCTTTGGTTGTCTTGACCCTGTCTGTAATAGCCTTTCTTAGCTTTTCTCTTTTTGAGCTGAGCTGCTGAAGAAATGTTGCTTAGCAGTGCCTCAATGTCTGCAGCGGTCACAGGATTAAAGCAATCTCCAGTCCTTTGTTATTTTCTTTGAAAAATATTTTACAATGGTCTCTTTTCTTCGAGGATATTTTGCATTGATACATGAACAATTATTGCACAAAACTTTTTAGAGGAACCCTTTTCCTTTGTTGTACCTCTGTACCATCTTAATAAATCATAATACTCTGAGAAAGTTCCTTTCTTTTTAGGCTGTTCTTTCTCCAGATCCTTTCATTATAGATCAATGTTTGAAGAAGACCTCAAAGTTTTTAACTCTGTGTTCCTTTTGTATCTTTTTTCTCTCTCCCAAACTTATTAGAACCAAAATCGAGTTTGATGGGTAGGTAATTTGTAGAGTTCATTTCCTTCCCACCCAGATAAATTGATAAATATTAATAACAGTAGTCATGATATTTCAAGTAAATCTATAAACTGTAGTGTCTTAGCTCAGACTGCCAAAAACAGCAAACCATAGACTGGATGACATAGAAGTAGAAATTTATTTCTCACAGTTGCAGAAGCTGGGAAGTCCAGGATCAAGGTGCTGGCTAATTTTAATTCCTGGTACAAGCTCTTCTCCTGATAGCAGCCACCTTCTCATAATGTGCTTACGTGGTCTTCCTTGGTAGGTGTACATGGGAGGCAGGATCCCTCTCTTAAAAGGCCACCCACCCTATGGGATTAGGACCCCCCCACCTTATGACTTCATTCAGCTTTAATTACCTCCTAAAAGCCATATGCTTCCTAGGTGGCTCAGTGGTAAAGAATCCGCCTGCAATGGAGATGTGGGTTCCATCCCAGGGTTGGGAAGATCCCCTGGAGGAGGAGGAAATGGCAACCCACTCCGGTATCCTTACCTGGGAAATCCCACGGACAGAGGAGCCTGGTGGGCTACAGTTCAAAGGGTCACAAGAGTTGGGCATGACTTAAGGACTAAACAACAACAGAAGCCATATAGCCAAATGTAGTTACCTTGGGGGTTAGAGCTTCAGCAAATGAATATTGTGGAGACATAATTCAGTCTGTAGCATTTAGCTTCTTTTCTTTCTGTTTTTTTCATGCTAACGGTTACATAGGGATCCTTGACTCCAGAATGCCAATTACAAATACTGTAAATACGCGAACACTGGCCTCCGACCACTTCCCCTAGACCGGCTCCTGTTGGTGCCCTAACCCTCCTGAAGAGCGGACACACCAACACGGTCAGGACCTTTCCTCCCCTGCCCCACACTGCTGGAGGCATGGGGGACCCCCCAGTCCTACTTCTGCCCTCACCTTTCCCTCCGCTGCTGCTGCCCTGCTGGGTACCCTGCAGTGGTTTCCAGTTCTTCATGCTTGAGAGAGCTCCGAGCTGCAGAACCCTGACCCTGCTGACGCCTGGGGATCTAAGAGTGTTCTCAACATCTAAGACACTTTCCGGCTGGTGTTTCCCCCTTGCCCCCACCCCTGCTGGAGCCATCTGAAACAGGTCAAGTGAGCAGTGGCTTTGGGCTATAGGATGTACTTTTCAATCGAAATGAAACTATAAATTGTAGTTAGAACTTGTCTGGATTGTTGGTGAGCTTCATTGTGCTGAAATGGCCTTTCAAGGTTGGTTTGAGAACCCTTCCACCACATAACAGTGAAAAATGTTTTTGGGGTTCCAAATATTCATCATTATGGGAGAAAATACGTGGAGTACAACTTGTTTATAATCTTTAGACTACCACGATGAATGTAATCCCAGTTACAAAGGCATTGGAGAAGACTCTCCTCCTTTATTTTATTATTGTGTGTGTTAGTTGCTCAGTTGTGTCTTGACTCTTTGCAACCCCATGGACTGTAGCCCGCCAGGCTTCTCTGTCCGTGGAATTCTCCAAGCAAGAATACTGGAGTGGATTGCCATTCCCTTCTCCAGAGAAACTTCCCAACCCAGGGATTGAACCCTGGTCTCCTGCGTNTAACTGAGAAAGTAAAACCAGAAGGTGCAGAAAATGCTCCCTAGTTCAGTGGCCTTCCTGACTCTCCACCAGCCACAGGCCCAACCCGGGGGGAAGGGGGACACATGATCATCAGCACTGGAGGCGCTTGGCTGGGAGCTCAGGAGGAGACCACAAGCTGACCTGATTTGGGGAAGAACTTCTAGAAGATCTGCAATGTCCTAAACACAACTAAATCCTATCAGTACAGCAGGGCCGGGCTAGGAGATGCTATGATGAATGGGTACTTCTGCATCCAGTGACCGAGTAATACACGCATGTATCACCTTGTGACCCACAAAAGTGCAATCATGTGAAACCAACGGCACTATGGCGAGAAGAGAAAATAGCCAGTGTTGAAATCGCGCAGAGTCCTGCGGCCAGACCGAGCCCAGCAGCTGCCACTGCATGCAGCCTGCCCTCTGCCAGCTGTGGGGAGGCAGGCGGAGGGGCACGAGCTGGGCCCAGGCACCGAGGGGTGAGGCGTGGGTGTCTTGTGCTTGGAGGGGGGCAGGAGCCCCCACCTGGAGGCCGGGCACTCACACACTGAGCGGCAGCATACCCGGTGCTGACGACGGGCGCGAGGAGCCCAGACCAAGAGGAGGAGGAGCCGGGTCAAAGCTGTTTACTGCCCCTTTGTCGAAGAAAGACGTGTGCCCTGATCGAGAGAACTTCGTGCCATTGCTATTCATCACCCCACAGTTAACATTCCCTGAAATATAGGATTTTCGTGATGCTTGGTCCTTTGCAAAATTCCTGCAAGCTGCTAATTTGGATTCTAAAGCCCCGACTTTCCGTAAGAGATCCCCCACGATGTTCAGTGCTGATATCCTAGCTGAAGGAGTCAGTGGACTGGTACCAAAACCGTTTGGTATAGCCTTCGGTGAAGGAAAACTGTTCTCCGTTCCTTTGCCAACAGGGGTAGCTGGCAAAGAAAGTGATGCTTGGATGGCAGAATCCATCTTTTCGAAGTCCAGCGTTGGAGAACTGGGAGCTGACTTTCTAGTTACTTCCTGTTGTCTTTCCCGAACAGCTAGTTCTTGCCTTAAATTTCTTGCTTCATCTTTCAACCTCTGTACAGAGACCAACTAAGATTCCTTTTCATCAAGTTCACTTTCTAAAAATGCATTTCGTTCAATGGCTTGATTTAACCTTTGTTCAAAGTCTTCCAGTGAAACTATTGTTGCCCTTTTTGCTCGCTCCAGGTCATCATTAGCCTGTTCCAGCTCTCTTACATACTTATGTATTGCTCCTTAATGGCCAGAGTCTGACTTAAATCATCTTCTAATACTGAGACCTGCTTGTAGCTCTGTGCATATTGATGTTCTAGCTTCTCCTTCAATGCTTCTACTTCGTACTTCAGTCTTTGGTTATCAGCTTGCAAGTCTCTATTTCTTTGTTCAGCCTGTACTAATTGTGCCTCCAACTCTGCCTCTCTCTGCTTCCTTCCTGGAATTCAACTAGCTCATCCCGAGCTTCCTGGAAGCTTTGTTTATACTTCAAGGAAAGATCCTTCCAATAAGCAGTTTCCTCCTTCAAACTTGAAAAATCTGGTATATCTTCACCATCCATGATCAAGAAAGCCTCCAATGTGTCGAAAGCGCATGTTCGCCGCCGCTCCACCAACGTCTCCGCTCTACGGGCCAGGCCCGCCCAGCCGTTCAGCTCCGCTCCCCGCCGCAGCCTTGAGCTCCCCTCCGTGTACCTCCGCGCCCGGCTCCTCCCCGACACGTCTTCTTTTAAGCTGTGAGGAGGGTCCGGGAGACCCCTTGTAGAAGTGAGTGTTCAGACCAGGGCCTGGCGTTCAGCCAGGAGCTCACTCGGCCTCTTGTTTGCCCTTCTCGGTTCTCCAGCTTTCCCCAGCCTCTCCCAGTAAAACTCCCTTCTGCAGGTGTCTGCCCGGTGTAGCAGTCAGTCCTGTAGAATTGTGACTAGTGAGCCGAGTCATGCGGATGAGTGCTTAATGGATGGTGCATGTTACTGGGCGAAAGCACTTCGTGAGAAGACAGAACGGTTGGAATGAAAACTCGTGTTTCTCAGCAGTGACAAACCACAGCGCTGTGCTTTGAGGTCTCATTTCACAAGGTGACCTGTCCTTTGAGCTGAAGATGGAGCTGAGTCCTCAGCCCCGCTTTAGTGGCGTGTGTGCCTGTGTGGTATATGGATCGGGTCTGGCTTTGCATATTTCAGTCGAGCGGTGAGCTCCATGGGAACCGGGGGTCTGCGCTGGGAGAGGAGCCAGTATCTTAATTTGCCCTCGACTTTCTTTGACTTTGCCCAGGAGGGTCCCCTCGATGCTTGGCACTTTCACACTGAAGGCCTTGGCCTGTCCTCTCCAAGTGTCTTTAGTGCTGAGAACTCAGCTAATTCGTGGGTGTTCCATGAAGGCTCTCCTCCACTGCGTGTAGAGACATTTCGAAAAATCGTCGCTTGTAGAAGTGAGAAATGATTTAAGACAGCTAAAAATGCATAATTCACAACCATAAGGAGACAATGCACTGTGGGAAAACTAGATAACTACATGTAAAAGAATGAAATTAGAACGTTTTCTCACACTGCGCACAAAAATAAGCTCAAAATGGATTAAGGACCTAAGTGTAAGACCGGAAACCATAAAACTCGTAGAGAACACAGGCAGAGCACTCTTTGATATAAATCATAACAATCTTTTTTGGATCTGTCTCCTAAGGCAAAAGAAACAAAAGCAAGAATAAACAAATAGGACCTAATTAACTTAAAATCTTTTGCATAGCACAGGAAACCATTGACAAAATGAAAAGACAGCCTACCAAATGGGAGAAAATATTTGCAAATGGTATGATTGATAGGGGGTTATACAAATAGCTGATACGATTAAATAATCAAAACCAAGTGAAGTGAAGTCACTCAGTTGTGTCTGACTCTTTGCAACCCCAGGGACTATACAGTCCATGGAATTCTCCAGGCCCGAATACTGGAGTAGGTAGCCATTCCCTTTTCCGGGGGATCTTCCCAACCCAGGGATCAAACCCACACTGCAGGTGGATTCTTTACCAGCTGACCCATCAGGGAAGCCAGATATGTTATAAATTACTAATAAATGCCAGCCACTGTTACTATTTTGATAACCTATATTTCACATCTAAATTGCAACATTCCTAATACTAACATTATTTATTTTCATTCAGTGATGGTGACAATGATAAGTGGAAATAGCATATTTTCCAGCATTCTAGTTTGCTATAAGAATCAATAGATAAAACTCTCTTTGACTTTAATATCTTATTGCATAAATATTAACTGAGCAATTTAAATTTAATTCACATTTCTACTTTTTTCTGTTCGTTTCTGTTCAACACACACACACCATGCAAAACAAATAGGGAAAAAGAAACAAAAATCTACAGGCGATTTGCATCCTGATATAAATAGATAATCAAGAGTTATTTCTATTTCTCTAGAATATTTGCTATTACAGCATCCAAAATGTAATTTAGAAATGTGGATGATAAACCACTGTGATCACTCTTTTCGAGTACCTGACTTTAGTTCTCAACTTTAAATTTTTCTATTAACTAAAGAGTTTTATATCTGACAAAATTAAAATTTTACATGCTAGCATTAAAACATAACTTAGAAATCATCTTTTATATTTTTAAAGTAATACTTATTTGAAAGCAATAATAACGTAATTGAGGAATAGCCCATAAGAACCCTTGATTTTGAGAAAAAGCAATAAAGGCTGGGTGCAACTATTTTCTAAGTGTCTAACAGTGGGCCACTTCTGATAACAACATGACTCATGAGTATTCAAGAGACTTCAAAATGTGGAGCCAAAAGTATGTGTTGAAGAAAGGTCCTTTTATGCCTTTGATGTACAAAGCAAATCAGCCTGAAATCATCAGAGAATTGCCATGACAGGGGCTGGACAAATCTCAGTATGATCAAAGCATTCCAGGCCAATGGCATTTGAAAGGAAATTAAAGCTTTCTCCACTGAGATTTAGCCATCTTCTAAACAGAATAAATGCAAGAATGCTAAGATGGATGCATATGTTAAGTAGAGCTAGCACTCCTCCAAACCATCACCGCAGTGCTTCACTTATTAAAGCAGTGGGCACCCTTCCTATTTGCATACTGTGGAACTGTTTCAGGAAATACTTTCATTGCTTTTTTCTGGTCTTCCTAATATAGTCCAAAATGAGAAAATGCTCACTGAAAGTATTATTTGTCATATTGTAGATAAGGGATTTTTAGGCAATTTTAAGAACAGAGTTNTCTTTCAATTTCATGGCTGTAGGTACCATCTGCAGTGATTTCGGGGCCCAAGAAAATAAAATCTGTCACAGAAGAAAAGTACCCTATACCCTTTGTAGGTCTAGTGATAATTCAATAAGCATTTTGATTATTTGATGAGTGTTCTCCACTGGTGTCCTTTGCAGCTTATAAGGGTGATTAACCTAGTGATTAGCTTGATTGACATCTCTGTGCTGGAAAAGGTGAGAAGTTTGGGGAAGACTTGATTTCATCTAAAGTGACTAAGTCATAATGTCACTGAGTATTAGAGAGGGTGACAATTTACAGATTATCTTGTCCAGGAGGGTTCATGACAAGTGGTAAAACCAGCCTGTCTACTGTCTGGTCCCTTGTCTGCGACTTTACTAGCTGGGTGACCGTGGGAAAATGGACTTAATCTCTTTGCCTCAGTTTTCTCATCTGTGAAAGGGGTCACTAGTAGTATCCACATACTGGTGGTTTTGAAGATTAAATAAATTCGTATTTACAAGGCTCATAGAACAGTATCTGCTCTAGAAAGGGCTACATAAGTGTTGGTTAAATGAAAATGTTCTGTGCTTAGTTGATTTCTCCACATTCAGTGAACGAGAAGCCTAAAATTCAGGGAAGTTAATTTTATCATACACTCACAGTTCAGAAATGAGGATTAGAACCTGATGGGTACACAGTCTGATGGATGATATCTAAATCTTTTCTCTTCCAACACCCCACAGCAAAAATGTGCTATTTGTCATCATTAATTTTATTAATGGACATTATTTAATTAAATACCTTATTTATTAACCAAGCTGACATTTAAATTCTTTTTGTTTCCACAAGGGGTTTCACTTTTTTATTATGTTCTTTTTTTCCCCTTGACATTTCATTGTTTTGATTAATAATTAATTCTAGGGGAAGTGTTTACAGAATTTCATACCATTTATAGTCTGTTGTATTTTATTGTATCATTCAGTCTGTGATAGTAGCACCCGGTATATTTCTCAAATAATATTAGAAGGGTGAGAGAATTTCACAGTCGATCCTTTAATGGTTTAATAGAAATTGCTTTCCTTTTCCCACCCTGAAGGGAAGCCCTGTCATTTATGATTCATTGGATTTGGTCAGCTTTAGGAAATGCTTTTCTTTTTTCTCCAACTTATATGAAATAATGTCGTTACTCACTCTAGAAAAGATGTCAGCAGACTGTTACATAGGATATAGGACATATTTCAGTGTTGCCATTTAGTTGTTAAGCATCTTTTTCTGAGTGTTTGAAATGGCAGCTGATAATGATAGAGGGTAAGTTAACTCTTTTATTTAAAATTTATTTATTAAATAATGAGGTTGTTGGAGATATCCTGACTTAATAGAAAACAAACTTAACAATGCTTTAGAGTTTATTCAGGAAAATACCTGGTGCCTTTTTTTTGCATTCTAAAAACATTTTTAGTTATATATTAGGTCCTGTCATTGTATCTTGAAGTAAAGGAGGAAAGGTATCTCATAGGACCTTTGGGATAAATTGCCTGCCAACGTGTGGGCTTGACTGAGCCTGAAATTGACAGCACATTTGTCCATTAAGCCCCAGGACTTGCTCACCTGAAGTTTCTACTCTCAAGTGGAGCTGGTTACTGTTGGAGGTGACAGCTGCACTCTCCCCTGCCTGTAATTGGAAGCGTCTCAGAGTAGCTCCAAGCTGAAAGCAACCTGTTCCACTAGGTGAATCAATAAATGGTGTGGTGGTGGTTTTTCAGTTGCTGTGTCGTGTCTGACTCTTTGCGACCCCATGGACTGCAGCACACCAGGCTCCTCTGTCCTCCACCTCTCCCAGAGTTTGCTCAAACTCATGTCCATTGAGTCGGTGATGCCATCCAATCACCTTATCCTCTGTCACCCCCTGTTCCTCCTGCCCTCGGTCTTTCCCAGCATCAGGGTCTTTTCCAGTGAGTCAGGTCTTCGCATCAGGTGGCCAGCGTTTTGGAGCTTCAGCATCAGTCCTTCCAGTGGATATTCAGGGTTGGTTTCCTTTCGAATTGACTGGTTTGCTCCCCTGGCAGTCCAAGGGACTCTCAAGAGTCTTAACCAGCAGCACAGTTCCAGGCAATGGAATATTTTTCAGTAGTGAAAAGAATTGAGCTGTCAAGCCTGGAAAAACAGAGGAATCTTAAATGCACATTGCTAAGTGAAGGAAGCCAGTCTGAAAAGGCTGCCTACTGTCTGATTCCAACTATATATGACTTTCTGGAAAAGGCAAAACTATAGAGATAGTGGTTGTCAGTGGATAAGAGAGGGAAGGAATGAGTAGATGGAGAACAGAAGACTTCTGGGGGCTGAAA